ACCTGTTGGCGCCACACTTGTGATCTGAAGTAGAACGCTGGCTGAGCCAGGTTCCACGCAGTTGTATGACGAGGGAGACTTACCTCTTGTTGGCGTTGAACTCTGGAACTCATGATACTCTTTGTATTAAGTGACATTGATAATATAAGTTGCGCTACTGGGTTCTTATCTCATCTCAATCTGGTTTTGTGTGAGACCACTTTGTACGTGTGATGACACGTATGCATGCGGTTTGATGCACTCGAGCAAGCTGTGAACAGTCAGGTTCCTTGAAACTTTGTGAAACCTACGATCGGATTAGTTCACTAGTGTCTTTGACACTTATCCTTGTGCATAGGCTCTTCTGAAGCTATGGCGACACCAGGGGCGGCACCGTACGGGACACCCGCACCTCCCACATAAGAGACTTCGGCGGCACCCACGTACGCGACGCCTAATCCGTCCCCTTACAGGACGGTGGTATGCCACATATGCAACAAGACGGGGCATTACGCCCGTAATTGTTGGCAGTTAGGGAACAAGGGAGGAACCGATGAGGAGAATGGGATGAGGGATTTCTGTAGGAGAATGATGCCGGAGGAGAGGGAGGAAGACGAACGACGTGCGAAGGAGGCTGAGGAGAACAGGAGGAGGGAGGAGGAGGAAAGGAGGGAGAATGAGAAACTGAGGGAGGCTGAGGCCAGGGAGCGGCAGAATTGGAGGACGACAGCGAAAAAGTGAGAGAGGAAGCGGAGAGACTCGTCGAGGCACTTGAGAACGGAAGAAGAGGGAGGAAGAAGACGACCATCCCCCCAGCAGAAGATGCAAGGAAGAAAAAGCGCGCTTTACCAAAAGGGAGAGACAAAGGAAAACAGAAAGAAGGAGAGGAGGAACCGGCGACTCCACAAAAGAAACCCTTCGCTGCGTCATGTTCGAGCGCTGGTGTAGTTCAGTATACTCTGGCACAAACCAAGTTACTCAACAGCTTGAAAGCACACGAGATTCGCAAGCTCTGCGACCAGGAGGGTGTTGATTACATCGTCAAGGATCAAGCTGTCGAGGAACTCGTGAGGAACAGAGCTTTACACGCGTATGAAAGTTTTCTTGAGCAACGCAATCAAGCCACCTCGACACCCAGAGTCGGTGCTGGCATCAAAGAAAATTAAGGGAAATGGGGCCAACGTCACACGAGTAGTAGATAGGATGGGGGAATTAATGCGGAGTAGGCAGGAGAGAGATTTGACGGGTACAAGATCTCTACTCCGGAGAAGCGAAGAAAACGAGATGGTACTTTTATTTCTTCTGTTAGCAGTCAGGGGGCTCGTGCCTTGGTTCAATAAACTGATGAGGTACGTAGACCCTGAAGCTCTCGATGTCCAACAACCAGGAGTATATGTGATAATGAGCCTAGTTTGTAGGAAGATCTACATAGGTTGCACTAAAAGATCGATGATCGTACGTTGGACCGAACACATTCGTTGTTCGAGGACCGGCGGCAGAGGTAATGCACTGAAGCTGCACAACTGGTTGCGCTTTTTTGGTTGGAGTAGCTACTTAGCTGTGCTGCTGGTCACTGGAATCAGAGACACCCTGGCTGTTGAAGAATCCTTGATCAAGCGGTTGTCGCCAGTATTGAATATGATAGGGAAAACAAAGAGGAGATCTAGGAAGAAGAGGAAGGGAAGTAGACAGCGGGAGGGAAAAGCGACTTCCTCTCACGACATGAAAGATTATGTGTCCTACACCTGGAACGGGAAGACATTCTCATCAATGGTTAACATACTAGAAGCGTGCAAGTCAAGCGGACAGGCAGCTGAGGTCGTTGCTACTGGCGGGTTCGTAGTGTTTGATCCTTTGAAGAGGCTCAAAGCGCGTTACGGGCAAACAATAATGTTTATCGACAGGAGAAGAACCAGAATCCGCTTGATGGTGAACAAGCTTCGATCCGGGTGTCGCTTTAAAATCGTGAAGGGCATCGAAACCTCCACGACCATGCAACGACGCAAGCACTTCCTACAGGAACTTCTCGCCCAACCATGGAGGATGATGATGTTGTTCAAAGCATCGGGCCAAAGACTTGCTGCGCTTTTTCGGATGGCTGCTCTTTTTTCAAGGAGGAGTTTGAGAGATCTCTTACGTACTCGTGTGATTAGGAGAAAGTTTGGGTTGATGTTAGAAAAAGATTAGTGATCAAGGTACCCTTTTCACCTAACGTGGCTTTGAGTAGTGTGAGAAAGATTGCGTCGAGATTGTTACTAGATCAGTAACTGATGGTGGCTTGTGTGACTTGATAGTCAACAAGAGTTGTTCGGACGAGATTGCAGACTGTGGGTGATGTTTTGCATAACCATAGAAGGAAGCTAAAGGCAGGTTCGGCGATCTGCACATGTGAAGATGATAGCTTGCCACGTTTTTAGGGACACGTCCGGGCTAGGATCAATGAAATCAGTGGTATCCTGATGGTCGTTTTGAACTCTAGAAATGTCACTTACGGAAGGACGATGGATCCATCAGATCTGGCGACAACAATCGTGCTGTGCTTACCGAGATCTTGGAGAACGAACGTCGCGGTTGTAGCTGAAACATGCATCCAGCAGTGCTATGTGAATAAACATGAGATCATCGGAGCACTCACTGTTGAACAGGTCCGGATGATCGTGAAGCCGTACTCCCACCTTGTCATCATACCGTTGGATCGCAACCCTGGGTCTACCTTATTGGTGTGTCCTGTGTTGTATTTTCACGCCATTAGGATGACATTCAGATGGAGCATAGGTTTTAACAAAAGAGAGGAAGATGAGCTTACGGTCCTTCGGAGGATGAAGGTAGACTACTTCGATCAACCTACATGGCGGGCATACAACAAGCTAGGAAACGCTTATGTCCTACCGAAGAACAAAGATCTGACTAGTTGGAGACCAATTTCCCCTTCCTGGTCAAGAACCTACGAAGACTGCGAGCGCTAGGCTTGGTAAGGCGCTGAGGTACATTGTCGCATACCGTAAAGGTGTAGACCAGAACAAGAACCGACCTCTCTCACATGGTACAAAATAGCACAGCGGAAGGCTTAAATACCAATGATCTGAACACTCAATGCTGCCATGCAGACCAGACATACATCATCATCATTCCATGGTGTGAAGGGGCTTGGCGCTCACACAGGAAGAATGCGCCAGTCCCCAACCATACACAGACGAAGAAGAGGGGGGGTTAGACGAAGAAGAGGGGAAGATGGGAATGTCGTCAACACCAAGTCTTCGGTACAGGTCCCAAATAATCCCTCGTCAAATGTCTGAATCCCAATGTCGAGTCTGGACCCAAATGTCGTCAAGTCCCAAAGTCACCAATCTCTCTCTCTCTCTCTTAGTCTGCAGACACTGAGAAGTCAGGTAGCGAGAGGGGGAGGCGGAGGTGGTGGACTTAGAAGAGGAAAAAGAAGAACTCTCTCTCTCTCTCTCTCTCTCTCTCTCTCTCTCTCTCTCT